CCTAATGCAGGCCAGGATGCCATTGGCCACTTGGCCACTGAGGCACATTGCTGGCTCATATCCAACTGGCTGTCGACCAGCACCCCCAGGTCCCTTTCTACCTGGACACTGTCCAGCCATACTGTCCCCAGCCTGTAATGCTGTAGGGGATTTTTGTGTCTAAAATGTAGAACTTGGCACTTAGACTTATTAAACTTCATGCTGTTGGACTCTGCCCATCTGTCCAACCGATCCAAATCTCTCTGCAGAGCCCTCCTTCCTTCCAACAGATCAACACAAGCTCCCAGCTTAGTGTCATCTGCAAATTTACTAATGAAGGATTCAATGCCCTCATCCATGTCATCTATAAAAATATTAAATAGAGCTGGTCCCAGCACAGACCCCTGAGGGACACCACTGGTGACTGGCCGCCAGCTGGATGCAGAACTGTTCACCACCACTCTCTGGGGCCAGCCATCCAGACAGCTCCTAACCCAGCGAAGGGTGCTCCCATCCAAGCCATGGGCCGCCAGCTTTTCCAGGAGTATGCTATGGGAAACAGTATCAAAGGCCTTGCTGAAGTCTAAATAGACAACATCCACAGCCTTTCCTGCATCTACCAGACAAGCCACCTGGTCATAGAAGGAGACCAGGTTGGTCAGACATGACCTACCCTTTGTAAACCCATGCTGACTGAGACTGATACCCTGGCCATCTTGTAAGTGCTGTGTGATAGCACTAAGTATGAACTCTTCCATTATCTTACCTGGTACTGAGGTCAGGCTAACTGGCCTGTAATTACCAGGATCCTCCTTCCTACCTTTTTTGTAAATGGGTGTCACATTGGCCAGTTTCCAGTCATCTGAGACCTCACCAGTGAGCCACAACTCTTGATAAATGATGGAGAGCGGCTTCGCAAGGACATCTGCCAGCTCCCATCTGGTCCCATTGATTTATAAATATCCAAGTGTCCCAGTAGTTGTCTAACTGCCTCCTCTTGGATAACAGGAGGACCATTCTGCTCCCTGGCACCACCTATCAACCCCTGAGGACAGTTGTCTTGAGGACAAGCTGCCTTGCCACTAAAGACTGAGGCAAAGAAGGCATTAAGCATTTTTGCCTTTTTCTCATCTTTAGTTACTAGGTTGCCTGCCTCATCCAATAAGGAACCGAGGCTGGTTATACCCTTCCTTTTACCATTAATATATTTGTAAAAACTTTTTTCATTATTTTTAACAGAAGTTGCCAAGTTAAGTTCAAACTGAGCTTTGGCTTCCCTAATTTTTTTCCTACATGCCATAGCAGCTCCCTCAAATACTTCCTGAGAAATGATACATTTAAAGAGATGATACATTTTTTTTTATTTCTAAGTTCCTTCAAAACCTCATTTCTCATCCAGACTGGATGTTTGCCTCTTCAACTCATCTTTTGGCACACAGGAACAGTCTGTTCTTGTGCCCTCAAGATCTCTGCTTTGAAGCACACCCATCTCTCCTGGATGCCTTTGTTTTCAAGGACTCTTTCCCAAGGAACTCTCTGAATAAGTCTCCTAAATAGGCCAAAGTCTGCCCTCCGGAATCCAGGGTAGAGATCTTATTGATATTCCTCCTTATTTCACCAATTATCGAGAATTCTATAATTAACAGAGAGATGGATCCCATCTGATTCCAGTACAGCAGGTGCCATAAAGGCTGCTCCATGATCAAAGAATCCAAAATTTTGCCAATGACACTAACCCTTGAGTAATTTGTTAATGATGTGAGTTCTCCTATTCCTTTCATCATTTTTCTCTGCCACCAAAGGGACTGAACAAAACACTACCTGTACACCTGTCCTATCAACCACTTGACCCAGTGCCCTAAACTCCCTTTTAATTGCCTTGACACTCCTCTTATCAATTTCATCACTGCCAGCCTGGAGTATCAGCAGTGGGTAATAATCAGAGGACCGAATCAGCCTAGGAAGTCCTTCAGTGATGTTTTGCACCTGGGCCCCAGGGAGGCAGCAGACCTCTCTGTGGGATGGGTCTGGTCGACATACGGCACCCTCAGTCCCCCTCAGAAGGGAATCACCCACTATAATTACCCTTCTTTTTTTCTTGATGTTAGAGGTGGTAATCCATTTTTCAGACGAGTCATAATTGAGAGGCTCACTGGGCAGATAATTTTCTTCTAAATTATCTGTCTGGCTCTCTAGATCCAGGGCCTCATACCTATTCTGAAGTGGCACCTGGCTAGGGGATGGGGGTCAGGAGGGATTTTTGTTATTACCTCCCCGAGCAGGGACCCATTTCCACTCCCCTTCATCTACCAGGTGCCCCTCTATTGCCTGAGAGTGAGACTCTGAATCCTGGTGGGCCTCCCTTAAAGATGTAAGGGCTGAACTCCACCACTCTATTTCCCTTTCGCTATCCCTGATACTCCTTAATCTTTCAACTTCCTCCCTAAGCTCGGCCACCAGCAAGAGGAGGTCGTTCACTTGTTCAATCCGTAGGCGGGCCTTCTCCACAATACCCCCTGATACCACTGATAAGCTCAAACACTCTGGGCAGCAATGGGTCTGCACAGACAAATCCTACTTGGAGGGCTCTACTTGGTCACATACACTTGTACCAACCACAGATTTCGACCGGGTTAAAACCATTGCTTAGGACAAAGCCCAAGATCAAGCAAACAATGAAAACACCTTACCAAACTTGCAAGAACCTGCGGCCCTGCCTGCTTGCCCTGCCTGCGCGAACTGCTGCGCAAACTGCTGTGACCCTGTTTACCTGCTCCTGTTGTGACCCTGTTTACCTGCTCCTGTTGTGACCCTGTTTGCCTGCTCCTGTTCGCTGTGCTCCCCAGAGGCTTTTTATAACGAGTCACTCAGGAACAAAGAAACTCCACCTCCTGCTCCTGCATGGCTCACAACACATTGTCAGCATTCCCCAGAGGAGTCCCACGGGAGTCACCAGCACGGTCTTTCTGTCCCTGCCTGGAGCTTTCAGACAGAAAACACCCTGCCCAAAGAGAGAGTGGTTGATTGGAACAGTGTTTTCCAAAGAGAATCTGACACAGAAGGCAGCTCTGTGTGGAGAACCTCACCAAAGTAGAGGTGTTGCCCAAATGGACTTTCAAAGCCTCAGACTGTCTCAACACAACTAGAGTCTGAAGAGCTTGGATAAAATCAAAACTCTTTAAACTTCTCAACACTACCAAATCCTTCAGTAATGACAGCAATTAGCACCTGTCATCTCCATCCTCTCCAATCCTACAAAAAAGTTTCACCTACTTTGTAGCTCTGTTCCCAACTCCACCTGTGAAATTTTTGCTTTCTTACTTTTAAATGTGATTGAAAAACCTGTGGCAAAATTAAAGCTAAAACTGCAAATTCTTAAACTTACGAAAAGGTAACAATGATTGCAGTCACCTGCTTGAGTGATCTGCCCAGAGTCACTGGTTTCCTGTGACAGATTCTGCCATCCCGACTTACACTAACCCAGTTCTCTCCAAAAACACCCTTGTGCTCTGGCTTTGAATCCCATAGCTTCCCAGGACAAAACAAGGCCAGTCCATTCCCACTTCCACTCATTTCCACTCTGCTGCTTTCCGGGGGTCTACCCAAACTGACCACCCTGGCTTTGCTACTCCCCTGGGGGAGGCTGAGTCCAGAAAACAGACGGCTCTCTCAAAGGATCCTTGTCCTTCCTGCAGGTTTCCTAACTCCAAACTAAAGAGGAAAAAAATGGAGCAAATGTGATCCTGGCAGTTGAGATCCTTTGGTCATACAAGCAGGGCTATTAAAGCTGAACAGGAACATACATCATAATAATTAAAGTGTGCATGAGTTGGCTTTGAATTGCAGGAACTCTGGGTGACCATATTTCACTCTCCTTGTCTTTGACTAAGATAGAATTTCCTTCTTCTCATCAAATGGCAAATCTTTTATTTATGGATTACATCTATGCCTTCGAAGGAGGTAGAGTAACTGATAAAGTTTTCCTGAAAAAAACATGCTTATTTTCTTTCAGCTCACAGATGACTGCAGTTGATCACATCTGTTTTCCAGCAGACATCAGTGTATCCAATTAGAAAGATCACAGAATATTTTAGAGGTCATGAGATTATGTGGTCAGCCAAAAGATTTGGGCTTTGAAAAAGAACAAGAAGACAAATCTGGTATGTGCTAGTTTTTGTGACAACCATGGTAAAATATTCTCTTAAAACTCATTACACAAATGTAATCCTTAGTATTAAACATATATACACGTAAAAACCAAGAGTTGGGTTTTTTTTACTATTATATTAAAAATTGTGGTGACTAAATGACTTGCAGTCCTGGCTGAACTGACAGGAAAGGTTGGGGTGTTCATGGTCACAAGATATTACTAAAAGTAATCAACCTCTTATGTTCCTTGAAAGAATGCATGAAGCCTTTAGCAAACCAAAAAAAAAAAAAAAAATCACTACTTAAAAGGATGGAAATGTTATCAAAATGTTTCAAAAAATTGTTTAAATTTTCATCTTCAGCTCTGATATGACAATGCAATGCATGGAAGAATCTTCAAACTAAAAATCAGGGGTTTTTGATCTCTGTAGTTCCAAAATAAAAACCTATTTTGACACTTTCATTTTAGGATGCTCATGACAGAAAGGGAATCAAACTTTATGGAAAAATATTGATATCAAAAAAGTAATCAGTTCTTAGTTCCAAAGTCTGAAAACATCTTTGAAGTGTCTCTGACAGTTAATTTCCTGATTTTCCACTAATGCTTGTCTCCATTATGTCCTCCTGTAAATAACTCCCCAGGATCTGACAGCTGAAACCATGGGAGCTCCAGTGCATACCTACAGACTCATAGTTCAGTAGATTGAATAGTTGTTGAGTTTTTGTGGGTTTGGGGGGAGAAAAAAAGCAAGAGAAAACAAATGGGCATTAGGGACAAAAAAAAAAAAAAAAAAGGCTGAACACAGAGCCAGAAGGCACAAAAAATTATCTTGAGAAAAGTGAATTGGATGGGATTTTGAGCAAAGTGCTACCTGTGGAAAGGCCTTTGAACTGCAAGCCAGGATACTCTCTCCTGTGGCTTGATGCCTCCTTGATGCCTTCAGCCAAGGAAAGCTTTGCATGCCTAAGCAAAACAAACAGGACTATATGAGGAATTGCATTTTCTTAATTGAAAAAAAGAGGCAACTCGATGGCAAATCACTCAGTTTTAAAAGGAAAACAGCCAACCTTCAAATTTATTGTGAGTCTTTCAGCCGAGCCTTGAACCCTGAGAATTCTTCCTTCCCAGTGCCACAGCAGAGACATCCAACATTGCAGATTCCACACAAAGGTACTGGAGCATCCCTATTATGGGAGTTGAACCCCCTCTTTGGGACTGCCAGCCCAAAACACTACCAAAAACCCCAAATTACACCTGCATGGTGCTGTGCTGCAGCTTTCCTTCCACAGGGCTTCCTTCACCTTCCACTGGTGGTGCTGGGACAAGGCTGTTGAACCCCTCAGGAGAAAAGGAGCTTGTTATAAGTTAAATACAAATAGTTCTATTGTAGCCTTGCATGCAGTCTATTTTACTTGGGCAAGTGTGTTTTTTGTTAGACACATAAAACACAGAGTGGGTTTTAATGGCTGATCAGATCCCGTTAGAGCAAATTACATGTTTAAATACAAAGGATGAAAGGATCTCTATTATTTTACAAATTTCTAGCAGCGCTGCACCTTAAAAGGAATTTTATAGCAAATTTGTAGTTTTGCAACCAGGGGGCATAAAAAGGACATGTGTTCCAAGAGTAAATGCATTCCATATTTCAGAAATAATAAGTTCTTGCTCAAACCCACATCTCATCAGTGCAGAGAAAGGATTTTGCACCCATGGGAAGAAGGACTTTTCTGTCTCCAGCAGAACAATTGCAATCCACACAAACATTCAAGACTAAAAATCCACATTAGAGGAAACACTGTCCCAGTAGATCTGGCTCATAGGAAGTAAAAGGATTAAAATACTCTAATCGCAATAAGCTTTGTGCAAGTGAATCTTCACACAGGCAGGAAGAAAACGTTCACGTGGCCTTGGAATTAATGAAGGTTGTAGGATTAGAAGGTGCAAGATACAAACATCTCATAGCCTAAAACCACAATTATAATTAATAAGTAATATTTGAGCCTTTGAACTCTATATGGGTATTTATATTAATTTATATGACTAAGCAGATGGAGCTCTAAGCAGATCACTAGGGCCAGGGAGGTGAAAGCAAGAATATGTGATGATTTGCTGGTATTGCGAAGGTAAATGAAATCCTAGGCTTTTTAAGTGAAGAATGAGAATTCTTCCTTCTCTACTTAGGTTTTATTACTTACAGTCATGGTTCTTGATCTCTCCCCAATAGTTTTCTTTCATGTAAACAGTTTTCCTTCATGCATTGGAATTTCCAGGTTCCTAAAGAGGGGATTCACAGCCTTAATTAGGAGAAATAAAATTAAAAAGAATGAAAATAAATCAGAAATGGAGTGGGAAGCATATTTTAAAGCTGCAGAATTTTATTCTTCCATGAGAAAAGTCACATTGGTTCGAAATTAGTGAAAGTTGTTGATGCCTTGACCAATACCTAAGCCGCAAACAGTGCATCACAGAGAATCCCCTGCACATTCAGCAGGGCAGTGAGTGTAGGAGAACACTGTAATGAGTTGTCTGCAACAAACCTCAGAGTCTTGGGGCAACTCCTCTTTGTTCTTATTTATGTAAATCTTAAGATGCACTCAGGCCTGAAGTATTTGAGCTCTTTCAGCAGTGCACCAAGCAGTGACACACTATGACCTCCTACATTTCTTCCTCTAGCAGAAAATGAAATGTAAGAGGGTGGACCTGGACAGTTGAGGAGAGGGTGGGGAGCCTGCCATGGTGTGCACTCCCCAGAGAACTTTATGTCTGAGTCATGCCCTCAAAAATGTTGTCTCTTGCAGAGATCTGCTTTCTCTATTTAGGAAAACCCTGTTGTGCCAGAAAAGTAAAGCTGTTTTTTGTGACAAGGCGCTGGCCTGGCTTTGCTAAGGGTGAGAGGAAATGGCACCAAGGTTCATTTCTCCTCATCCACAACCAGCAGCCCATGCAGCTTTACATTTATCTATAGATGAAACATTCTGAATGTCACAGAAAAAACAAATCATTGAACAAAAATGAACCAAAACACATCATGATCCCAAATAACTTGAATAAAATAAGCAGAAGAGTTGAACATTAACTTTGTGTGAAGATGAATACTGCATGATTAGCCAAAAATTGCAGAAAATGTTCTAGTTGGTTCTTTCCACTTTTTCACTGCATTCAAGTTTCAGTTAGTGCAAAAAGATGGAAATTTCTATTTGCAAGCTAGAGAGATTTCCTGGGCTCAAAACAAGAGTATATCTTTAAGACAAATTCATGCCTCCAAAAAACTTATCACAAGCGACAACTTACATTATTCCTTTATTCCCTATACACAGGATGTGTAGATAAAGTCTAGGCCGATTTTCTTACAACATGTCCAAATGCTTCTGTTGTGGAACACTCGAGGTTTCCAGTGGTTTGAAATCTTATTGTGAGAAAAGAGCAGTCTTACATTTGGAAGTCAGGAGGCTGCTGCTTTTTCTATTCCTTCCTTCCATCTGCAAGATCTCATATGGGGTAAAAACGGGAAATTACTTGAGCAAATCTTCAGCTTTCCTCAGTTTGCTTTAAATAATGTCCTCAGCCTTCTGCCTCATGATTTACATAATAAGGAGACTGTGTTGTGTTATTACATCAGTTTCATTTCTTCAGGGAGAAGGGCTCCAGATGTATTTGACTAAGTCATTAGTGCAAACATCCCATATTTGTAACAGCATTCCTTAGATCAACTGTAGACACACTGTTGATTTTGGCTACAGCCTGAGGAGTGGACAGACACTGACACTTGATCTAAGCATCTGCCTCCTCATGACTCCCTCCAAGTTCATTGTCATGGAGAGAAGTACAAACCCCTAATGGATCCACAGTGAGATTTGTGAAACCTGGCAGATGACTCATCCGATAAAAATCACTGTTGTACAGCTAACCAAGGAGGAGGGGGGAAAGCAAAGATTTAGCCTTCTTTAGAGAGTTTGCTTCCTTTCATCAGAGTGTTTTTCTTTGCTCACATGGGAATGAAATTACAAGCAAGGACAGAGTGGGATCCTGACACCTCAACTGCTGTCAGTGGGTTTACTGGAAGCTCTGGTGAGTAAAGTACTATTCAGGGTGAGGAAAAGTTACAAAAGCCCTTCCTATCTGACTCGAAACCATCACTGAAGTGTAACAAGGTAACAATGACAATATATGACCCAACATAATACTAGAAATTTTATATGGCCCAGCATAATTTCTAGAAGAATTCTAGAAAAACATTGGTTTTCCTACATTATTTGCTGCTTGATTCAACTCATACAAAGACTTGACTACACCAAATTATTACTCACTACCACATTGAGCAACAGGAAGCTTTTTTAATTGCAGATAAAGCCTCATTGTTTATTTACTTCTGTACCCTAATACTGACAATTAGAAATGGGGGAAAAAAAGCTAATTAAAAGATAGGTAGCTTTGAATTGTTAGCAATTTTTTCCAAACAGGCACAATAATGCACATGACAAAAATGTGCAAGAGAGTTCTCTGAAATACTGCTGCAAAGCAGAAGGCACATGACTAACCAGATAAGCAGCTTCTAAAAGGAAATAACCTAAATAACTTATTTCTGAATAGAACTTTTGAGAATAGGTCAGGAATTCTGGTAGATGCTGACCCGTTTTTATCACATTTGTGCCACAGCCTCTATTTGCTCCCTGGATGCAACCATAAGACTGAGATTTTTCTGTAAATGGTTGAGATGATAAATTGAGTAAGGACTGTCATGTTCCCATACAATAAACACTATATTTTTCATTTAGAAACATTTCATTTAGAAAACATTGTCATTTAGCATGACACAAAGATGTGCAAGAATGACAATGTACAAGTAATGGATAAGCAATATATATATTAATATTTGACACATGCTCTCCTACAGGATCAGACCCCATTAAAAGGTAAAAAATGGCACTTATTACTGTCTCCTGGCTTTGTCATAGCTGTTCAGATCCCTGTTGCTGTGCAAGAGATGTGATATTTGCATCATTTGAAGCCCTTAAAGAGGGTATTCTAATGATTAAATCAATGTAAACCAGGTTTCAGAGCCAAAATAATCAAAAGTCTGACCAAGGCAAATGTTCTCAATAAAGTGAGCTTGCCAAACACAAGTGCTAATTAACACCTGATTCTAATTTGGTGATTGTGAAAGTGTGGCAATGAAGCCCTATGATTCTACAAGTAGAAATAACATTGCTTTCCCCTATTAGTAGATTGCATGGATTGCCCTCGTGGCCAAAATTCCTCCTTTTGATCCATTCTGGGTACAATCCATGAGAGTAGAGGCAGCTCTGCTCAGGTTGTACAATACTTCCCTGGCTGAGAATATTTACTATGTTTCCCCCAGCTGTAGTGGTTCTGAATGAAATTTGATCTCCCTCGATGTCAGCTTTCACGGACAATTTTCAAGATGAGAAAGTTCAAAATATCCCACGGACTACAAATGGCAGAAACATGTGGTCATGTTCTTTCACATTTCCTGTTATGATGGATTGTGATTTTTGAGGGAGGAAGAATTCTCCTTCAGTTTTCCACAATTTTCCTTCAGCCAGTTTTCACACGGGGTGCTCAGGACTTCCTGGGTACTGTGGCAAGCCTTTCATTCAGCAAGACACAGGGAACAAAAGCAGATGTAGCAACATGTGACTAATTCCTGAAGTCACTGGGCATTTGATCAGTCACCAGGATAACTCAGGGCTTTGCCTTGAGTTCTTTACCATCTTCATAGTGACACACAACAGACCAACCACAACCTGGCATTAGATGGGATCTTTGTTGACACCCCAAATGGCTAGGACTGGTTTTGCAAACAGAAAAGGGCTGAAAGGACAATTTTCCTTCCTGCATCAAGCAATGAGTCTTCCCAGTAGACACAGCAAGTCTCCTCTGTGGACAACTGCAATACTTCAGACCTTGAGACCATCAATCCAGTGTCATCTCCCAAAATACATTTTTTTATTTCTTAAGTGCATCCACTTTGACACTCTCACATTTATTTACATGAAGGTAGCACCACTACACCCCAGTAATTTTACAAAATAAAGTTACTGCTGCTTTAGACCTGAAAGTTGTGGCACTTCTCACTTGTGACGTGCCTAAAATAACATGCAATTGAACTCCATGTGTGACATACACAAGTAATTACCAGGGCACACAATATATGAAGCATCTTCAAAAACAAAGTTGCATAAATTTAACTTCTAGTTGATTGTTGGTGAACCCAGTTACAAAATCAACACCTCGTGTATTTGATCTACACAACAGCTACATTACACCCTCTACTGATCCTTTTAATGGTTTACTCAGTTTACTTGGTCCATCATTAAAAAAAAAATAAATATGAAAGCCAAATTTGTAAGTGCAGGGTCTACAGAAATATTTGAAAAGAGTCCTAAGTATTTTATTACCTCTGCAGTGCAAATGTATTTGACTGCCTGTTTAAAGCAACTGCAGTTTGTTCTTAATAAGGGTGAATTTGCACTATAAACGGCATCCCCTCTTTGGAAACAATACTTCCTTTATCTGCTTGTGTTCAAATGCTCCTCCCAGGGAAACCTAACTTATCTGTTTCATCTTAAAACTGGAGCTGCCTGTCAAGCTTTGACAATCTTTAGATTCTTTTGGAAATAGGAAGCAAGCCATTGTGTTCAAATTTGCTCTTAGTGACAGCTGATCCCACAGGAGCAACTAGTTAGAAAATAATTGATAGCACTTGAAACAGAAAGGACTGCAAATCAGGTGTGACAAGTTTGTATTCAATTGCAGCTCTAAAACTAATTGTCCAGTTAAGAAATCAGCTTCAAAGGGGAGAAAAAAACCCCCAAATTTAAGGGGAAGGAAATGAGAAGTTTGTTTATTGCACATACACTTTCATTCTGACAATATTTTCCTCTTTAAAAGGCAGGTCTGGAATAAGCAGTACATTAAAGGGATGGGCCCAAAGCAAAGCCTCCAAACCGAATACTCCGAACTTTATGACTCAAGCCCATCTGTAGTTTGTTATAAACAAGTCATAAGGCATAAATGAAAAAATCTGGATGCAGAAGGACAGAGGCTCTATCCTGGTACTATTGAAGTGAACAGAAAATCTCTTGCTGACTGCAGAGGACTTTGGATCAGGCATTAAAATTCCAGAGTAATACTGGCACAGCTTCAATCGTATGAGTGTGTGTGAGCGCTTGTGCATAAATATACACACAGCCCAATATTAGAGATTTTTAACCCCAACTCTTATGTCAGACTATAACACCGGATGTCAAAAATGAAGATAACATGCGAGG